AGACGGTTACTGAGGTCAGATCGTTTTTGGGGATGACGGGCTATTACCGTCCGTTTGTGAAGAACTATAGTACTATAGCTTCCCCATCAACGGATCTAACTCGACTTGACACCCCTTGGGAGTGGACTGAAGAGTGTGAAGCCAGCTTCAAGGAATTGAAGTATGATCTGACACACTATGAAGTTCTTAAATTTCATGATCCTGACAAACCGTTTGTTGTGACCACAGACGCCAGCCAATATGGCATAGGCGCGGTCCTTGCGCATCAAGAAGGGCCCAAGTCAAGACCGATCGAGTACATGAGGAAGAAGATGCCATCTCAGAAGTTGGCCAAGTCCACTTGTGAGAGAGAGCTCTATGCCCTGTATAGAGCGCTACTTCATTGGAGACACTACCTCCTAGGAAGATTCTTCTATGTGAGGTCGGACCATGAGACTTTGCGCTGGATCAAGACACAGCCAGTCTTGTCGGACGCACTCAAGAGATGGATTCAAGTGAAAGACATGTATGACTATCAACTTGATCCTATCAAGGGTACGTACAACAAAGTGGCTGATGCGCTATCAAGAAGGGCAGATTATCTAGGCGCGCTAGTAACTRMGTTKGGCATATCTAATRACCTCACTCGATCGTTGGTGGAAGCCTATCAGGGAGACCCAGTCATGTCARAGATCATTCGTAGGTTCAAGGCAAAGGATAAAAAGACTTTGGACGAATTTACGATGGTAGACGACTTGCTGTTCCTTGATAAGGCAGGGAATAAAAGACTATGTGTTGCTAATAGCTAGTCTTTGCGTAGTTTATTTTTAGGAGAGTGTCACAATGCAACGGGTCATTTTGGCTATAAGAAGACAACAGCAAACTTAGTTCAGAGATTTTGGTGGCCCTCTATGATGGAAGATGCAAAACGATATGTTGAAACCTGCCAGGTTTGCCAAAGGGACAAACCAAGGACTCAGGCTCCGCTTGGGCTCATCAAGCCCTTGCCGATTCCTGAAGGTCCTGGTCAAAGTGTGTCCATGGACTTCATGGATACCCTTGTGACCAGTAAGTCTGGAAAGAGACACATCTTCGTAATAGTGGACCGTTTTACTAAGTACACAAGACTAATTGCTATGCCAGAAACAGCTAAAACTGAACACGTCATCAACCTGTTTATGGACAATTGGGTTCGTGATTTCGGTTTGCCTACGTCTATCGTTAGTGATAGGGATGTCAGGTTCACAAGTGAACTGTGGCAGTCAACTGCTGACCAAATGGGCACAAAGCTCCAGATGACGTCAAGGAATCACCCTGAGTCAAATGGCCAAGCAGAACAGATGAACCGAGTAGTGCAGCACTTCATTATATTAAGCCAAGCCAGGATGACTGGGACGAGAAGTTACCTCTCGTCGTCAGCCTGTACAACAATGCTGTGCACAGCACCACCAGTATGACTCCCAACCAGTTACATCTTGGTTGGAAGCCCAAATCTGCGCTTGACTTTCTGTTACCAGAAAGGCAACCTACTGCAGCACCTGGCAGCATAGAGTTTGCTGTCAAGTATGAACAGATGCTGCAGCAGGCCGTAGAACACATTCAGAAGTCTCGAGATGCTATAATTGCATCTGAGAACAAACATAGACGGCCTTCTAACTTTCAGGTAGGTGAGAGAGTCTGGGTAAAATCATCTGAACTGGGACAAGAGATAGGGATCTCAAGAAAGTTGATGCCTCAGTACTTCGGCCCCTGGGAGATCTTAGATATTGTAGGAGATCAACCTGATGGGCCTTCATACGTGATTCGCATCCCTGCACACCTACGGACTTACCCTGTTTTCCATGCCTCCAAGCTGGCACCTTTTGCTGCCACAGATCTGTTTCCCTCTCGGAGATCTACGCTGCCCCCAACCATGGATGGCGAAGTGGACATTGACCAGATCATCGAGCATCGGATGATGCCTGTTCCTCGACCATCAGGCAGAGGGCGACCTCCTAAGCCCAGAAAGCAGTATCGGGTGAGCTTCAGACATCACCTCGATCCCAAGGAAGATCGCTGGTTCACACGAGAAGAACTCATGAGAACAGCACCTCAAGTGATTGCAGGCTATGAAAGAGAACGGAAAGGAAAGATGCCTGCAGAATAAGAAGACTTCTCAGAGGACTCACGAAGTTAAGGAGGAGGGAATGCGAGGATCAGGGTCCTCGGTAGGCCTATGGGGCCCTGTCTGCAGCCTTACCCGCCCTAAGTGAAGGCGGGCCTGGCTTTTTGCAAAAGGCCTTCGACTGTCAATTTTGTATTTGGGGTTCAGGCAGTTGCGACGCACCAGTTGGTTGAAAGAAACACAGGCGGAGCAACAAGGACATTTCCACGGCCTACCGGGCCTTTCGAAAGAATGCAGGCCCTGGCCGTGATTCGCAGCCTCATACAGAG